AGGAGGGAAGCCCCCTCGTCCCCTGGATCCGCCATTGTTCCGGACTTCGTTGAATTATCGTTTCTGATGCAGTTCTCTCGCTTTTGTCCGATCCCATTGATTGATTTCGAAATCATTTTGAGATTGTTTTGTATTGTACAAAATTTTTTTTTTTTTTCAGATCAAGCAGTATCCTCGTACAGTAAAGCAGTCACTGCGCAAAAAAGATGAACGTCGAAAACAAAAAAGGGATGCATACAAAGAGCGCAAACAAGCTGAAAAGCAGGCACGAAAAGATGAAATTAGAGAATTAAAGGCATTGAAAAAGAGTGAAATTGAAGAGAAGCTGCGTAAATTGAGGAAATTGGCTGGTGACGACAGCTTGCCGCTGAGTGTGGACGATTTGGAAGCGGACTTCGATCCTACTTCTTACGACAAACGCATGGATGTACGTTATTCTGGTCTTTCGCATCTTAAATTTTCCGTTTTTTCTCTTTTTTTTTTTGATTTGTCGCAATAAAATTGTAAGATGCAGTGTGACATTTTGTTTTGTTTTCAGGAGATTTTTAGTTCCCAGTATTATGGAAAATCTGAAGCGGAGGAGAAACCTGTGTTTTCTGATATAACGGAAGATTCCAGTGAAGAGGTTAGTATTGTTTTATATTGTTGCTTCGATCAAGCTTTATTTCACCGTAGATGCATCATCGTAGAATCTGGTAGTCTTTCAGCTATTTGATATAATCGAAGATGCATCACTTGATAGACAATCTGTTGTTTATCCTCGCTCCATTGTTCTTTGGAAAGGAATTGTTTTGTCATATTTTTTCTTCGGCGTTTGGCTCATATAACACTGCTTTGAAGGATTTTTTAGAATGTCCGTCATTTTTAGTAGGAAGTGTGTCAAAATTTTTCTTAAAAGATGCCCCGATATGGCAGAGAGACATGTGTTTTTGTCAGTGACTGTCTTTTTTGCGCCCAGGCTTATATTTTAGCCTTTTTTTGACAAAATTTTGCAATTTTCCAGTCGTTATTTACATTTTTTGGAAAAAGACGAGTAGGATGAGGAGGGGAGAGGAGGGGGAGGGGGAAAGAGGGGAGGGGGAGACAAACTTTATAACACTGGCGATGATCGCAAGGTGACGAACTGTGAAAACTATGCGCCCCTCTTCAACATTGCGTAATGGAAACAATATGTGAAGCTTGTTCAGTGATAAAAGCACAGAAAAGAATACAGTCTGTGGTAGAGGCAACAATAGAGCGACGAATGCTTGAAGTATCTCTTTTTGACTGTGCGCTATTCAGCACTGCCATAATGACATGCGACACTCACTCTCTCTCATATGAGTGGAGTTCCAGATGTCACTGTGACAGTGCTGATAACTTAGTCGACAGCGAACGGCTGCCGGTGCGAAGATGCGTTTTTTGCACAGTTCTTCCGCAGGTTTTTGTTGTTAATGGCACTGTCTTTTCCGGCAGATGCTTCTAACTAAGAAGCATCTCCTTTGGGCAGGACACGCTGTTCGCTTTGCTATTAGGCAGTAGACGTCACATATGAACTGTATTCGCAAAAAAGTAGAAAAATAAAACCAAATACGTAGCCCTCGAAGGATAGGTACAAATATGTTGAAAAAGCGGTGTTTATTATCTTCATGATGTGCAAGTCAGGATCGAAGAGCCTGTCACA